AAATAAATTTTTAAATAAAAATTAATTATATAACAATATATTATATTTTAAAAAATTAATAATATGTGACATTATAATTATAATATTCTTGTTTGAGATAAATTTTTATTTTAATTTGCCATGTCATCACCTGTAACAATTAATTGTTCCAAAAATATATTAGAGGTACCATTCATTGAGAAAAATAAATTTTAGTTCGGCCAACTTAAAAGTTATTACTTATTTATTACTAAGGATTTGCCTTTAAAAAAAGAGAGAGAGAGAGAGAGAGAGGTTTTTCAGTACAAATTGTATATTTTTTGTACAACTTAAATATTAAAATTATTAAAATATCATTAATTTATAAATATGAAAAAAAATTATTAAATTTATTTTGATAATTTCAATACATGCAAGCAAGGTTTTTAAAACCGGTCGGACCGTCCGGTTGAACCGATATCAATAATGAAAATAATTTGGTTTACATAAAAAACTGTTTGATGTCAAAACTGATCAAAACCGATAAAATCGAAAAAACTATCGGTTCAATTTCTCATGCAATCTTCTTTTTATTTTTTCCAATTTCACCCTCACCATTCCTTTCTTATACCGATTCTAACCCTTAATTTTAATAAAATTACAAAATTACTTACCTCTCTCATCAGATTCTCCCTTGTTGTTTGGACTGGTTGGTTTATCGGTTGAATCAGTTGAATCGGTTAAACCGAAAACCGGACCTAAAAAGGGTTCAATAACCGGTTGGGTTTTAAAAACCTTGATGGCAAGCAAAAAAAAAAAAATTTGTAGGTTATACGGAAAAATACATTTTTGAAAACAAAAAATATATTTTGGAGATATATAAAATGTAAAATAAAATGAATATGGTCTGGGCCGCAAGTCCAAAGCTCTTCCAGCATTAATTTCTAGAGGCCCAGAAGAGGGCCACTCTCCGAGTTTCCAACGGGCCTTATTAATAGCCCGACCCGATCTCCGATTATCCGGTCAGAAAGAAAGCTTCCTGTTTTCGCCGATTGAGAGGCGAAAATCAAGACGAAGAAAAAGCCAGAGATGAATTGGTAGAGAAATTCGATCTGCAGACGAATTTGAAAGAAATATGGAAGAAGTGGAAACCCTAGCGGGAAGTGGAAGCTTTCCGGTTGCTCCTCTCATCTTCTTCACGGTTATCGCCTTCCAATTTGCCACCCGGTGGCTCCACGACTTGAAGAAGGTATGAGTTCATCCTGATTTGGTTAAATGTTTATCATGTTGGTTAACTTAGAAACCGGAATTTGATCCTGTTTCCGATTCTTTTATGTTGATTTGTTTTTCTAGAAAGGATCCAGGACCGATAAGGATATCCCGTTGCGTGGAGAAATTAAGCAGTTGTTGAAGGAGGCCAGCTCCTTGTCGCAGTGAGTGATGTTGTCGCTTATTTTGAATTTCTATTAGTTTAGTCCTGTAAAACGTCATTAAAAGCTTAAAAGCTCGATCTTACTGTTGCTTGATTGTGCAATCACATTAGATTGTATGATTGTATTCTTTGTGGGCGCAGACCGTCGACATTTGCACAAGCAGCAAAGCTCAGGAGAACGGCAGCTGCTAAGGAGAAGGAGCTTGCAAATTGTGAGGCTATTTTCCAGTTTTGGTCATTTTTCAATGTTTACTAAGATATATCAAACTTGTTGGTCGCAGAAATTTGTAAAATTGGATTTCTTGAATATCCCCTTGTTCTGTTTTTGGATTTCATACCATGTCAACTTGGCTATAAATAATAATAATAATAATTGATAGAGATGTTTGATTTGGGGCATGGAAACTGGTATTGTAGTAGTCCTTTGGAAGTTTATCTAAAACTTTGTTTGTGGTGTGGGACTCGGAAGTACCATTCAGAATGAACTTTATTAAGTGGAGAGGGTGAGGAAATTAGTTTGAAAAATGAGGGGCCTTTCCTTTCAGGTGCTGGATATAAATATTACACAAGGAAATTTCAGTCTTAAATTAGACTAATTACTGTTGAGAAGTTGTAACCTATCACTGATGAAGTTTTAACAATAGAAGGCTAGCTCAACAAGTCATCTGGTTATACTTACGTTTTCAAGAATCAAAATTCAAATTATGACTTGGTGTATGTAGGAGTCACTTAAAAAGTTGAATATTGAAAGTTTATATCCTATGAATATTGGTTAACAATGTTTTTTTGCTCTAGTTAGTGACTAATGAGAGATTAGAGTTCAGTTGCAATGTTAATCTATACTCATTGCATGTATTTATACACACATATGTGCAATATTTTGATGTTCTCCCTCCCTTTGCTTTTCTATTGCCAATTACATGTTCTATTGCATCTATACACTACTGTCTCTTCAGTGGGCTTCCTAGGGTGCTTGAGACACAGCAGAAAGAAAAAAAAATACATACTTTCTCTTTTGTCTTGTTCTTTCCCTTTCTTTTCTTCGAGAGAAAAGCTCCTATCCTACGTGGCCTTATGGCCTTATTTTGTTTTAGAGTCTAAGAAGTTGTCTTGTGTTAGCCCATACTGATTGAAGCTTCTGGTACTTTGATATCCAGATCAAGAACAACGAAGCCAAGAGATGAAGCTGTCTTATGATTTGTATCTGAAAGTCATGCTCATCATGAAGGTCAGTTTGTGAAATTGTTAATGGAAGTTTATCTGTTTGTTTCCTTGATGTAGGTCCTATGAGTTTTTTTGTTGGTTGTGTAGACTGCAACATATTTCATGCTGATAATCTGGTTTTGGGGGTCTCCTGTTGCTTCTGTTCCTCAGAATCTTGTCCAACCCTTTGGTAAGCCATTGTACTGTTGTTATTATACCTTTTTTCGTTGTTAAGTTTTGCCTGTTCTTTTTCTTGTTTGGCTCTAGAAAATTGTTTTGTATGTTTCAATATCCAGCAGACATTATGAATCACCTCTATAGATTTAGGTTTAGATAAATTCAGTCTTTGTGATTGGGGGAGAAAAACAAAGGGAGAATACATAGGTAGAAAGAGTCAACAAAAAATTTGAGAAAATAACTACTCTTTATTGATTGAATCTTTGCAGGGAGGTTATTATCTTGGAAGGCCGGAGGTCACTTGAATGACAAGATCATGGTAAACAAATTCCGCACCTGACTCCCTTTTCTTTAAAGAAACATGCAGATAAATTTCTTCAGAATTCTCAGCAACAATGCTGACCAAAAAAGAAAAGAAAAGAAAAACAGCAACAAGAAAAACAAAAAGAAAATAGCAGATAAGCCATGTAGCGAGCTGAGTATGGTGGTTTTGAGATGTACTGATCAATATTCTATCTTGCAGGTTGGCATAATACCATGGTTGATTTTGTCTGCGAGAGTTAGCAGATATATTTGTCGGATGGTCTAGTATGAAAAAGAATGATCTTGTTGCTAGTTAGGAAAGCATGATCTGTTTGATTCTTTTTCCTTTTCCAGGATAATTTTTACTGATTTTGGGAACCTCTTCCTGTATTGACCAACAGCACTTTATGTAAATTAAATTAAATTTTGAAGCTTCTGCTTCTTGTAAAACTCCTTTTTTATTACTAAAGAAAAAATACTTAATAAAACATTGAGATCATTATGCCCTTCACAACCCTTTTTTGTTACTTTCACTGCATATGCATCCGATAGAGCATGGGTAGGCAGATATGTCATGTATTAGGGAATGCAACACATATCTTGTTCATTTTACAGGTTTATAGGTTGTGACTTAGTTCCCTCTGAGATTGCTATAATTGTAGTTGTAGATATTTTTTTTCTCGTCTTTTAATATTTTAAAAATATAATTAATATTTATATATTTTAAAATAATAAAAAAATTATATAAAAAAAAAAAGAGCATAGAAAAATGTTCCTAAATGAATCATGCAAATCATAAGTTAAATTAGTTCGGCCAAAGTAAGTCATAGGGTAAAACAACTTACCTATAACTTGTTTAAGGTGGATGGGTTGAGATTTGGTTGGCAGTTTGAATCAATTTTGCTTTTGTAATCTCTCATAAGTAAAATATATAAAATAAAACAAACCTTCCAAACTCAAATCTCATGTTAAAAAAAATAATAATAAATGATGTTATAGGGATAATTTTTTTATTTCACCTTTTTGATATAATTTTTAGGTGTCATTAAATGAGTGAATGCATTTAATATTATGAATTTTATATGAATTAAAATAATCAATTATTTAAATAACATATTAAGTTATACAAAAAAATTAAAAAAATTATTAAAAAAAAAAATAGAAAGCGAGAAAAATTTGTTTGGTTGGGCCGAACCCTGTTAAGTCCAATCCCCTAACCGCGTTGACGGTATCGCGTAATTTCTGAGAACCCGAGGATAAAATTTATTTAATCAAAAGGGCAACAAAATCGGTTATATTTTCTCCACCGTAAGAAGAACAAACTGAAATCATCTTGAAAATAACATTTACGCGTCCATTTACATACGGGATCCATCAACACAGCTAGGGTTTATTTCTTCTGCGATTAGTCCAGGGGGGGCTCTGCCTTGGTCGAAGAATCACGAATCTCGATACGCAAGAAAGCATGTACGGATCAAGAGGGTAAATTCGAATTCCTTAAATTCATGGTCGATGTTTGTTGTTTTTGTAATCGCTTGTTTTGTAATCCCTTGTTTATTTTTCGTTTGATTGATGATGATTTCGGCTTGAACGCTATTAGTTATGATTTTGTGTGATTTCTTGGATGGAGTTAGGGTTTTATTTTTTTGTATGATTGTCGATTGAGAAAGATAAAACTAACAACTGGAAAATAATCTAGGAAAGGTTACCTATTGATAAAAAAAAAAGATTGAAACTTTAGGTTAAATTAATTAGAGAAATTTCCAGGCGTTCTCTGTGTTCATGTACTGACACACAGCTGCATGTTAGATAAGTTTGCAAATAATTTTTTTTTTTTTAAAAAAAAGGTGGAAAAAGAAAAAGAAAAATGATCTTAATACCCAATCCAACAGGTTCATTTCTTAGATTAAACGTAATATCTTTGAGGTTAGAGTGGACCAATGTGAAATCAAACCATCGATTTTTGGTAGTGAATTTAATGGTACATAGTAATTGTTTAGAGATATGGTCTTTGCTTTTAGGAAAACCCTATGGAATATAGGAACCCAGATTAGTTTATAGAAAAGAAAACGTGATTTATTTAGTTGGAAGTGCATTGTCGAATCTTTACATGGATAATAGGTTTGCCAACAAAGAATTAACAATACAAAAAATAATTTCTGTTTTCCTTTGTAAATTGTTGTGTTTAGATTATCAGTTAATGTATCCCATCTCTGTGTTGCATTGCTTTTGGTTTTTCTGTGTTTATTGTTTTTTTTTTCTTGGTGGGGGGTTAATATGAATGGTTATATGCTGTTAGAGTAAAAAAGTAGGGGTAAAATCATTGGGTATTTGGGAAATGTGGGTTGGGTTTGGTTATTAACAGGTTGAGTGGGGGATTTTTCTTTTGGGTATGGATAATTGAAGGGCAATGTTGGGAAGCGGGGGGGTTTCGGACGGGTACGAGGTCGGCTCAAAGAGACAAAGAATGATGGAATCCACTCCCTACTTCGCAGTGAGCAGCAGTGCTGGTGGCTATCAACCATTCAATTATGGTGGAAGCCCTCAGCCCCCTCCCTTTCCTGTGGTCCGGCTCAGGGGCCTACCTTTCAACTGCACTGATATCGACATCTTCAAATTCTTTGCTGGACTGGACATTGTGGATGTGTTACTGGTCAACAAGAATGGACGGTTCTCAGGAGAGGCCTTTGTTGTCTTTGCTGGGGCCATGCAGGTTGAATTTGCTTTGCAGAGAGATCGACAAAATATGGGACGCAGGTATGTGGAGGTTTTCAGGTGCAAGAGGCAGGACTATTACAATGCTGTGGCTGCAGAGGTGAATTATGATGGAATTTATGACAATGATTATCATGGAAGTCCTCCACCATCTAGATCAAAGAGGTATGACAATGACAAGGATCAATTGGAGTACACTGAGATTTTAAAGATGCGTGGCCTACCCTTCTCTGTGAAGAAACCTGATATCATTGAATTCTTTGGAGAGTTCAAGCTTGTTGAAGATAGGATACACATTGCATGCCGCCCAGATGGAAAAGCTACAGGGGAGGCTTTTGTGGAGTTTGAATCTGCAGAGGAAGCTAAGAGAGCAATGTGTAAGGACAAGATGACAATTGGAAAGAGATATATAGAACTGTTTCCTTCAACCCCAGATGAAGCTCGACGAGCTGAGTCAAGATCAAGGCAGTGAAGTGGCAGTATTGCATATTGCACTGGATTCAATTCTTCCTCCAGGTTCCTCAGTGGTGCTTTAGCTTCTCTCCATGTTCTGTGGTGGCTCCATTTTTCTCAAATTAGGTTACATGTCACTGGTATATTAGCATTTTGTTATGTTTTGACTGGCATTTTATTTTGTCATTATATGGAGATATTAAGAACATTGAGTTTAATGCTATGCAGATGCTGATTCCCAAATTTAGGTTCATACGTTCTTCTTTTTTTTTTTTCAGCATTTGGATGTCAATGATTGGCTAAGTCTAAAACTTGACTGTTTCCTCTATTCTTCATTTATCAAGTACTTTGGTTAGTTTTTACTTGCCTTTTTCACTCGATGATGTTATGGAGATCCATATGTTTTCGATTGTGTGGAATTTGAAAAACAATATCCATTGTCATGTCATCCTTTTTCAGTACAGAAAAACAATGCAAAAGTAAGCTCAATAGTTCCTAACTTCAACTCATTGCGAGATTAACAATACATGGGAGACAACTAGAGCAAAATTGAGACTCCGACAAGATTTGGACAAATCTTAGAAAGAATATTAATTGTTCTAATCACAGATAAAAAATCTAAAAATAAAAATGGTACGCATGAATTAATTATCGGCACCATTGCTTGTTTGGAAGCGGTAATGATGCCGAGCAGGCTGCTGAACATGGTGGGAGCTTGATTGACTAGATCCAGATTGACTATCTTTCCCCTTTACCTTAACCTTAAGAGCTTCAATTCTTTCTAAAGCTTCCACGACTTCCTTCATGGGAGGACGTTTCTTAGGATCCGTCTCCAGACATTTCAAAGTAAGCTCTGCTGCCTGCAATGCAGCCTTGGATGAGTACTGACCCACAATCCTCACATCCATGATAGTCTTCAGCTTTCTCCTGTTGGAGAGACTTGGTTTGAGCCACTCCACCAAATTCTGCTGTCCATTTGCCCGTTTTGTATCTAGTGCCCTCAAGCCAGTCATCATTTCCAGCAGAACAACTCCAAAGCCATAGACATCACTCTTCACGTACAAGTGACCTGTTGAATAATGGAGAAAACAATCTTCTTTTATATTCTACTTTTCATTTTCATATTGTCGGCCAATATATACCAGAGCAGAAACGAGATCATTACCTGTTGCAACGTACTCTGGAGCGGCATAACCATAGGTTCCCATAACCCTTGTTGTTACATGAGAATTTCCACCAGAAGGCCCGAATTTTGCCAACCCAAAATCTGATATTTTGGCATTGTAGTTCTGTACAACATAACAGCATTTCTTTATGACTAAAGAATCAGACAAAGGCAAAGGCATGAAGTAGTGAGAACTGAGGAGTGAACTAACCCCATCAAGCAGTATATTTGAGGCCTTGAAATCTCTATAAATGACTTGGTTGTCTGAAGCATGAAGAAAAGCTAGGCCTTTAGCGGCTCCTACGGAAATTTTAATCCGTAAGTCCCAAGATAGCGGTTCAATTGCTGGATTTCCTGCATAACCATATTATCAATCAACAAAATTGAATAGATTCAATTTCTTTTCCACTTAACTCAATCCAGCTTTCGAACACCTACTTCTAAATAGATGATTTTCCAAGCTTCCTCTTGCCATGAACTCATAAACTAGGAGAAGCTCTTTTTCTTCCCAACAATATCCCAACAACTTCACCAAATTTGGATGAGAAAGGCATCCTAAAAAGTTCACCTCTGACTGTAAAGCAATGAAATAGAAAATGAATAAAAAATGCTAGGATAAATTGAAAAGGGTCATAGTTAGAGGCATAAAGCTCAAGAAAATTGTGTAACACAGCCATGAAGGTTTCATGAATCTCAAATCCACAACCATTCAGTCTTAAATTCCATTAAATGGGAAAACATAGTCATGGCATGTGGGGCCACATTTTGCACATGCTCTCCTTGGTTGAAAATGGCTAAAGCCTTTCGCTTTCAATTTTTATTTAATTACTATTAGCAGGACTTTGCCAACTAAATAAATTTAATAAATTGAGAAAACTAAGAAAAGAAAACAACCTCAGAAAGCCTAGTGATTCCTTATTTGTGATAAAATAATATAACTGAAAAAAGTAGTTCAAATTGATAATGATCAAGATCAAAGAAAAAGAAGATGAAGATGAAGATGAAGAAGAAGACCTGCCATTCTTCAAAACCTTGCATACTTTCTGGGTTTAATTTCTTAATGGCAACCACCATTCCTGAGCCAATCTTTGAGGGTTGCAGAGTCCTGTGATCAACCCAACCTTTATAAACTTTCCCAAATCCTCCCTCACCCAACAAAGTATCAGATTTGAAGTTCTTGGTTGCATTCTTCAAGTCCGCAAAGGTGTAAACTTTCAAGTTGGGCATTTCCAATATTTGCCCATCTGGATTCCTCTCCTCCACAATTTCACTCACCGCCTCAGAAAATTGACTCCTGCAGTTGCTGCTGCTTGTTGTTGCTGAAAGTTCCATGGTGTTGCTATAGTTCCTTGATGCATCTATTACAGATCAAAAATAGAAGATCATCAACAGCCTTATCCATAAAAAGGAAAGACACCCCCAAAGGAAACTTTTTGGAATCATAAACCCAAAAAGGAAAGCAATCAAGATAACTAAATGCCTAATTTTAATTTAACAGGGGAGTAGGCATGTACGTACCTTGGTTTGTGGAGCTGTTGTGACTCTGTTCATGGAGAGAAGAGGATCCCCAGCAGTTACCCATCTCGAGCTTGTGATTCTCTCAAGTGCAATGGGGAAAAAGGAGACGGTATACCTTATGCGATGGGGAAATAGAAGGAAGCAATGATTAATAAAGCAAAGGGAATAAAAAAAGACGGGTTTGTTTTCAAGATTATTTCCTAGTTGGCTGTTTGGACGGGATTTCCTGTTTTTTCCAGGATTATACAGCTTACCTACCAGCCAGCCCCCTTTATGAATACTCCCACGTTTCCAAAATGTACAGGCAAGAAAGTCACTCCGGCCTTTTTCCCAATCCTAGCAGCCGCTATCTTCATCTGCTTCAGGAACTACTGTGACTGTCAATGACCCGAGTAAAGCGGAGGACCATCTTCAGCCGCACATGCGACGTAAGATTCTTCTTCAATGGCGTTGAAACTTTCACGGCGAAGTCTATACTTTCTTTTGTGCTTGTTTGAATTTTCAAAGATTTACTACTATCTGCTTGTCGTGGTGACCAAGCCAATTGATTGAATGAATTATTCAACTGTATTGTTAGAAATAATAAATTTTGTACTAATTTATTGCTTGAAAACATTTCCTTCTTAAATATCATTGTATTTGTAATTAAGTTAGAAAAGTAAATTGCATTACCATGTGCGGCTCCCGTAGTGGTTACGTTTCTTTAAAATAAAAAAGTAAGTGGAATTCATTTCTCGAATTTTCACTTTACTTTTTTTTAAACAGATATTAATATATTATTTTATAATTTTTTTTATCAAAAAAAGAAGTCGGAAAAGAAAATTCTACAAAAAAGCAGTGCTAGAGGCACTCGCCTCTTGCACTCTCTGGCCAACACTGCTCTTTTCATTGGGCCACGTAAGCTTGTTTCAGCTTTGCAGTCCAAGCTCTTAAAAACCAGAATAACGTGGGCCAATAAAAGTGAAAGTGTTGGTAGGAGAGTGCAGGAGGCGAGTGGCCCTAGCACTCTCCTACAAAACTGTAGGATTTTGGGAACTATGAAAAAGTTTATTCCAGCACGGACAGTTGTTTTTCACCGTCACCATTTTTCAAAAGGGAGGAAGTGGCCGAACGGTCCGCTTCGGTAAAGTAATTTTGGGTTAAGCTTGTCCACTCCCAATAAATTACATGTTCGAGTCTCACGAAATTTTTTTTCCTTCCCTCAATTAACTTTATAATAATTACAAATTATTTAAAAAAAAAGAAGGACCCACAAGAAAAGGATAATGAATTTGATTGGTTGAGACTCACACAGGGGAAACTGGTGTTGACATCAGTGAATGCAGTGGAGGGCAGTATGGGAGCCATGAAAATGACTTCCACTGACGGATGCCCGTAGCACAGGCTGCACGGAACCTACGACACGGTTTCGAGGACCCAAGACTCGTACCCAGTTCCATCTTTCTCCCCCCGTGTATAAAACTTCCCCTGTTTCGGGTCCTTTATTTTACATTTAAGTGAACATGTGTCTTTAATTTCCTTTTGTTGGACAAGGAGATGCGCATTTTGCTATGTTCAGGAATCGAGAAGAAACGGAATCACCATACCATGCATTGGAGAAACCTTAGACCTAGCCAGATGTTAGAACTCAGAACAGGGAAGAAATTGAGAAAACAAAAATAGTGAAAGAGTTGACTTTGTGGTTTGTTAGACCATTTCCAATATGTCAAGGCAGGTGGATGAAAAGAATTTATCAACAAATCCTTTAATCAATTAAAAGGGTAGGTCTCTTTTTGACTTTTGAGAAACAAGAAAAAATCTCAGCACTTAGCTATAGGATAATGGTATCAAACACAGAAAACACTTCATGATACCATCATATATACATAATGGGTATTTACAGTGATTTTTAAGTTTCCTGAAGGGAATATTTCACCATACCAAGCAAAAAGGTCAATATGGGAATGGTGATGTTTCTAAAGTTTTTGAGACACAAGGTCTCGTTTATGTAGTGTTTGTGTTCAACACTTCCATGCCTTGATTTTTGAGAGCTCTAGCTTTGTGCCTTCGCTTGAAAACATCCTGCCGGAATTGCTTGGTCTCCCTTTGTAATTCAATGAAAGGTTTCCTCTCTATGATTTCTTTCTCGGTCTCCAACATCATTCTCCTCTTTGCCACGGCAAATGCGGCAGCCTCATCCTCATGCTGCCATTGTGCCGCCTCTTCCTGCACTAATTTTCTACGTAAACAAACATAAACAGACACACACAAAGAGTTTACACAAGAGAGCATGTTTGAATTGGTCACGATATGTTTTGGTGTATTGACAATCATTCAACAATGTAAAGGTCAAAGTCAAATGCAAGAACAGGCAATTTTAGATTAATAGTGCTCATTAGGTCAACTTAACATCAGGAAATGTAGAGCATTTCAATGTATTAACCAATGTCAATTTGGAAACGTAAGATGTTATGCTGCTTGCTTTCTCCCTAGACTTAGATGGATAAGCAAAAGGGGAAGAACAACACCTGAAGATCTCGAATAAGACCATCAAGGGATTTGATCTTCCTGTGAGGCCAGCGAGGAATACCTAATTCTCTGCATCTTTTCTTCAAAACTGTAACTCCAATTTTCAAACTTTTAGAAGCTTCCACTATTGGAACATCAAAGTACTTTGCAAGATCTTCCATAGCAATTCTAGATACATCCTTAGAAGTTGCCCTTTTCTTCTTCTTCATCATGATTATACCTGCATTTTCCCAAATAATAAGACACCATACCCAACCCTGTAAAAGCAGCAAAACCCTAATCCCAAATAGAAATGTATGAAACACAAAATCATTAAAATCCCCAAATTGATCAGTTTCAAATTGTTTTCACTAAATACTAAAAGGAACAAGCTTTGGGAATAACCTTTTATGCCTTGTTCACCCTTTTGAGTTTCAGATAATTGAAGAGCAGAAACTGAATTTGGGGGGCAATTAAGGTCTTGGTCAAATACAGGCAGACTTCTTGATGAATGATTCTGATTCTCTTCAAATGTTTCCTCAGGGGAAACTCCTGACATCCGTTCATCCTCTACGCCGCCCCCACACCGGAAAATCATCTGAAGATCATCCGCCAGATTTGGGATCGACTTCAGCTTAGGGTTCCTGTGAAATAAAATCAAGAACCCCAAAATCTATTTCCATTCCATAACAAACCAAACCAAAGAAGGAGAAAGCTTTATGTGTGTGTTTTAAATGTGGTACCTGGTGATGGAGAGTACAGGAGGAATGGGGAATAAATGAGGGAGACGATCGGCATGAAAAGCGAAAATGCAGAGCCACAAACCAGTAACCCTGCCATGAAAGAGCTCTGAAACTCGAAATTTCTGCGATCTAAGGAGAGGGTTAGCTGCCATTTCCACATATGGACCATCCCTTCTGAAGACAAACTCTCTCTCGTCCTCTTTTTCCTTCCCATCCTCCAATCTGTACACATGCAGGCTCTTAATCAGCTCTGCAAAGAACAACACCCAGAACAGAATAAAAACACAGGAGGAGGACAAAATAAAAAGAACACACCAAGAGAGAGAAAAACTAAGGCAGAAGTAGTTTGGAAATAAGTACCTTTATTGATGGTATGCTCAAAGACCAAGAGAGTTTTTATGGAATAGGTTTGAATCAGCTCCATGAAGAAGAAGAAGAAGCAGGAAGGATAAGAGGAAGTAAATAAAGAAGGAAAGAGCAGAAGAATTTATGGGGTCTAGCTGCTGTTTGCATGCTGCCAAAGGGTAACAGAGCGAAGGATACGTCAATAACCAGAAAAGTTTCCAACTTTCCATTCATTTTTCTTTCCTTCTTCTTCTTCTTCTTATTTAATTATTTATTATTATTGTTTTTTTTTTTTTTGGGCCTTCCACTTTCCATTCATTTCTTCTGGCATTTTCCACTAGATTGCTGCAGTTTGCTGTTTGTCCTTACCAATTATTTTCAGAATTTTTTGTTTTTACAATCTGTCCCACACTTAAACATCAATTTAGGGTTAAAAAAGATAAAATCAAGCATTAGTTTGGAGCTAAAAAAGACAAAAATATCTTAATAAATTAAGAAGGCATCAAGATTTATTGATATATATTTTTTATGCAAGACTGGTATATTTTTTGGTACGCGCTAGATTGATATTTTTTAGTAGTCTCTGTTTTCTCTTTTCTTTCCTTTTTTTTATTTTTTATTTTTTATTTTTTATTTTTACTTTTATTTTTTCTTGTTCATTGTATTTTTGTTTTGTTTGTTCAGTTCAGTTTTGGTGGCTAAGAAAACAATACAGAAGAAATTAGGGGTTAGTCATTGCTAACTTTGATCTTTTAGCCTAGGCATAGCAGAGATTGTACTGATTTGTTTTAAGAGTAGATTAAAAGGTGTTCAATTACACTAAAATGTAAAAGAATATGCAAAGATTGTTCATGTGATCTTTTCATGATTCTTCTTTAATGTTAGTCTCAGGTTGAGCTCGATCTACTATTGTTTTATATCTCTAGTTATTCTTAATATCTTATGTATAATCATAAGTTATTATCAATGAGATAAGAATTTTCTTTTATAAATACCGTATAGATTTGTTTGATTAATATGATTTTAGTTGGGTTAAAATATATATATGCTTGTTTAAAAAAAAAAAAACATTCTCATTCCTTTTTGGGTGATTTATACTAAATTTCTAGTATTCAAAAATCACATTTTATCATAATTAATTCGAAATTAAGTTAAGTCAATTTCATAAAAGAATAAACTTTTTTAACATTTATCTTTCTATTCATAAGATTTAGATCTGAGACCATATTTAAAGAAAGTAAAACTTCTTTTACTTGGAAGTACAAGTTCTTAATCTAAAATTTAAGTTTTTAACCATAAAAAAACATGATTATACATTTATATCCCCCTTAATACCCTAAGTTTGAAAAAATATTGTAGTTATTTTAATTTCAAATTGACATTTCTCCTTTTTCTTTTTTAATTTTATAGTTGAGATGGTAACGCACTATAAAATATTAGTTATTAAATTAATAAACTCTCACTCAGAATCAAGATGAGGATTCTTTTTAATCTAACAATAGGGTGTAATTTATACTGTAAATTTTTTTTTTAGTTATGTAATTAAGTACATAAGAACTTGACAAAAAGATTTGAAGTTTGTTTTTATGTCATTCGAACTGAAACAAAGAATCTTGTCGTTTAGGACCAAAAGGCGAGAAGCCTAATGTCATCCAACAAGAGTAAAGTTCACGTTTTCGCTACAAAATGCCTGTTGGTCGGCATGACTTTGATTCATTACCTTGCAAAAACACCCTTCAATTCAAGCTGTCCTAGAATTGCATGGACAATGAGCTGGATAAGGTTTAATTAACAGAACATGACAAGGGTAAGTAAATATCAAGGAATGAAATTTCCTAAGAAAAGCCGCACCAACCACCTTGGGGGCATGTTTGAGAAGTGGCACAGGTAGTTTGACGAAACAACTTATTGACCATGCTTTTTGCTCAGATTTACAAAATTGCCATTTCTGAAGGCCTAAAATCTTAATGGGCAGCGAATAGTTTTCTTTCTTTACATTCACGCCCTTGCAGCCAGCCAGCTACAATCACTGGACTCAGGAGTCAAAGCAAAATCCCAGAAATTACAGACTCAAAAGTGCTCCCTGCTTGAATAATCATAGGGACGAAAAATATGTACAAAGAAGAATGATACCGACGAAGACAATAGTGGTATTGCTGAAGTAGGAAATGGGATGTTGATGAGCTTCATGTGGACTATTAGAAGCAGCATGTATGAACAAATACAATAACCAGAGTGAGAGCTTGGAAAAGAGTTGTGTTGTGCAGGCCAGTGCATTCTATGCATAATTAACTTCGTGGTTTGAGCGAACGAGGTCGGTTGCAGAAAATCCTGCCATTAGCTCTCACAATGGCTGCAATACCAATACTTATGCTTGCCCACATAAGTGAAAAGAATAGGTGCCAATAACCATAGCTAACTGCAAAGAATGAATAGAAGAGCAGGTGTTACAGACCTTTAATATCATATAGGGAATGAATGGATGGTAATTCAAAGGGGGAGTAGGAAATGTCTTTCCTAGTCTTGTCAGTGATAATTTTTTCATGTTTCAGATGTGAGCTGGTGCAAATAAATGCTCCAAGAGATTATGCTGCTTTTTAGCCTAACACCTACCCAAGTAAATAACCCTATAAACACTCAATTGCTTGCGTGGAATATGCAAGCATAAATTCTTCACTATTAGTATTCTCCTTATCTCCTCCACACCCCCCCCAAGCAATGCATTCATGTAAATTCAACTATTCAAGTAATTCCCGCTATCCACAAACATTTCTACTAAGTTCACTTACCTTGCGTCAGTGACACAATTGCGAAAAAGAATCCAATCAAGATCAATGACAAGGCCAGTGGAAATGACTGCAGAACAAGAGAGGGGAGAAATATATAAGAGATATGAATGATAAATGTCTAATTATAACACTTAGGAAACCGTGATTTTTCAGTTTTTTCCAACTTTAAGTAAGTGTGCTACACTGACTTTTAGTAAATAACAGTAAAGACGTGCTTAAAATCTAAAAAAAAAACTAGGTATTTAACTTACAGCTATAGCCTCCAGGCCTGCCCTTTGAGATTGAGGGGTCATAACACGGCTGACAGAAACAATGTAATGTCCTTGGAGAAGGTCAATTGCATCCTTCACATATTTCCCAATCAATATAAAAGTTCAGTATCTATATTGATAATGTTTAATGTACAAACTGTTGAAAAAAATTAACACAACAAAAGATTCTGGTAAAATAATGTAAGGTGAGGAGTATGATTCTGGTAAAATAATGTAAGGTGAGGAGTATAAAGAAGTTAACAGATTATCACGCTAGCAAAAGCACTGTTGTTTGGAAACCAATGAGTCCTTATTACTTGAGAGATTGCTAAATCAAAATTTCGCACAAAAGATAATTAACTACATTACCAATCAATGGAGAGTTGGAAGATAAAGGTTTGGAATATTGATGGCAGGGTGTGAAAGTAACAGAGGAAAAACAACCAAAAATAGGAGTGAGAGAAAGGTGGGAATGAAAGAGAAGCTGAACAGAAAATTGCAATATATGAATGGACCTGTTTTGTTCCATCACAGAAGTTGTTCAAATAATAGCGTACAAGGGCATTCCAGAGATCATTCATGATCCCTTGAGTTGTCCGCTGACCAAACCTAACCAACAGATCAGAACAAATATATAGCCAAGATTAAGAGTAGTTCTCAGTACTATAAATCAATGCCATAATGCTTTTATTATTAAAAAAAAATGGCAATCAACAAATGGCAGAGAAATTTAGGAACATAGATGATAGATGGAAAGATGTTTCAAAATATAAGAACAGCTGAATATAATTCACTCCCATAATCACACACACCCCAATTTATGGAGTCAAGATGCATCCACCATGCCATATTAGAAGATATCCAGAAAAGCTTCATAAACATGCTGAGAACAGGTCATACTAGATCCATTAAATAGTACCTGACAAAATCTCCTTTCAGTGGAGGAGTGCCAGAGTATTGAACACTTATGTCATCTCCATGATTAGCCCACATTGAAGGTTGGAAGACAGTTAAAAGCAGCAAACTTTAAGATAGCATGTTGGAAAACCAAGTTAATAGCACAAAAAAACCAGTAAACACCATAATATTATCAGGTATTAGAAGATCATCTTAAAACAAAATGAAGGCACTCACATATTTTGAAGCTGTCATCAAAATTTGGATGTAAGCTGATGGTTTCTTCAGCTGAAAAAATGCCAATCCTCCGAAGTTGAAGTTCCAACATTCTTCGACCTATCATGCTCTGCATATTCGGTTAGTATTGTTAAAGGAGCAAAGAACAGAGGAAGAAAAATCAAGGACCCTCATGTGCACCTGCCCCCCAAAAACACAAACACACACACATAACCAGAGAAAAATTTCCACGGAGAACTACACATGCAAGAAGTAACATTTTTTTTAAAGCTAGAAGCTGGTGCTCACTGATCATGTTTGCAACACATATAACAAAGTATTAATGATCTGAATAAGCAATAAAGAAATAAAGCACAGGCCTCATCTGCATTACAGAGGCCAATGTAAGCTCTATATTTGAAGAAAGAGAATTAGAGAATCACAAAAAGGAAAAAAAAAAAAGAAGAAGGTTTTTTTGTAATTCTATCAAGTTGGTGACAAATCACAGATATCAGTTTCAATGAGAGAGACCCTACTTATTGGTACTTACACGGCAATGAACCAGATGACAGTATCTCTTATGTTTGATTTAAGTGATTACCTGTGTAACGTTTGTGCGGTCTAAGCAATCAATACAGTTAGTCCTTACAACTCCAGTTTGCTCTTTCATTTTCTCACCCTTCTCATTCAGCAAGAGATACCTATCAAATTGAAATTAGGCAAACCAAAAAACTAAAAAGTTGGAATTAATGGGTAATACTGTATTACTTTCAATTTAAGCTTCAATAAGAAAGGCCATCATAAAACCACGATCCATGTTAAATGAATGTGAACAAACATTAACTTAAGAATAATAATCAAACTTCAGTTAGATATTCATAAACAGATTAAGAAAACACATACCCATTTTTCTCAAGGAAATCTGTGATTTGGTCATAGAGGATAGATAGGCGCTCAAAATGAATGTGCCCACAGACTTTATGGAAATCGAAATGCACATATCTACAAGATTATAGAACTTTCATGAAATGTAACAAAATTTAAACCCCAAGTAAACAACAGACAAGATTAGATGAAAGAAAACTCTGCCTTACATCATCACTCAATAGATTCTGCACTGAACCTGCAAATTTTTCACTTAAGCGTCCCTCACCTCCATACTGGTAAAAGATAAAGCAAGACAAGAATAAACAACAGAAATTACATGTGAACAAAGACTCATTTAGATTCTCACACTCGTAATTCTGGCATATGCATGGTCATTACATGAAACAGATGTGAGGAAAAAAGAGAAGCACATTCTCAGTAGGTCACAAGTATGCCCATTGTGCTTCTAATGAGAGGTAGTGAGGTACTAATGTACTATACTGTTATCAGCAACAAAAATATAACCATGAACTTGCCTCTGTTATTCCACTAAATTTATTGCATAAGGAAAAGAATTTGCACCTTGTTGACAAGATCAATTGCTAAAACTGCCCCATACTTTTTTCTTAGATCCAGAAAATGTCGCTTGGCTACTCGAGGCTGCATAGTATAGATATACCATTATGGTAGTTTCAAAGTTAGAGAGCACCTAAAAGTCTAAAACAATGTCATCCAGTGAACAAATGAAACTCACTGCTTCTTCAGGTCTCACAATCACAAACTTGGGTTTATATGTCAAATCAACAATTTGCTCCCAGATAAATGGCATGGATCCCAGAACCTGCATCAGGCAAAAGAATGAAAATGGCAACCAAAAAGATGGTAAAGCAATTTAGAGCAATAACTCATAGAAAATATCCTAAGAACTTCGAAGACATTGATATTGAAATTCAATAAATGAATGTCCATATGAATCCTCATTCATGCTTTCTGTGCAACTAACCAATAATGGAAAGAACTGACAATGATAGCTTCTTACTTGGAAAACCTATACCAGTACTACCTGAACAAATGATGATGTGTACCCATTAACCTGTATAATTTGCTCAGTTCCAACGAAATTAGCAGCATATCCATCAGCATCAGCTCCTCTTCTCCACATACGAGTACCTTCAAAAGGATGAAAATTGGTTACCAAGATGAGCATGTATTGAGAAGGCTCCACAAAATTTTGGAGTATGAAAAGGTGGCTATATTTTATAAACATTGTTTATATATATATCCCTCCCCAGGTACTGTTTCTTCAAATTATAAGAAACTAGATTCATGTGGGCCTGATTACAGAATGTACAGGATCAAGAATACTACAAAGCCATTAAGTATTTATAAAAGAATGATAATTATGAAAATCAAGAATACTACAAATAGAGCAGGGCAAAATCAAGAAAAATACAAGCCTTAAATACCATTTCTCCTAGTGCATCTCCTAGCAATCAGGGTAATATCAGCAATTTCTTTCCCGATAGCTGCTTGAAAGTGATGAAAACCTGATTAGCAGTTAAGGATATACTTCAAAAGGCAAACAGTTAGAAAAACATAGCACAAAATGGACAGTATTTAAACAATAATAAAATAAGTTATCATGTCACAACAGCTACATTCTGAAACAGACAACATGATGAAGGATACTCCCTTAGACAACTGGTAGTAAATAAGGATCAAGCTGCAGAGAGAGGATGAAACAAATGAAGCAGTTAGTTATAGATGTAAAGGAATTGAAATGGTCCCAAATATTCAAAAATAAAAATAAGAACAAATCCAACCTTGTTATCTATGAGCAACTCCAACATGTAATTGTTCCAGAGAAACCGAGGATCTGCCTGCCGCAACATTTGTTTAAACAAGGAAAAGCCTTGCCATTGGACTTAAAAAAGAAAAAGGCAGGTTAAACACTATAATTAGAGAGGTTTAAGAAATGAGGACTTAATTTTCAGAGCTAGCAGCAGGTCATCTAATAATCTCTAATGATGGAAAACAGTGGGATAGAGGTAAATATATATCAATTATTTGAAATATCAAAAATTACCTGTCTCCAAAGAGGAAGCAATTTAGATTCATCACCGAGATCATGCAATCGCTGTGCCCTGTTCATGCCAATGTCATATGATAATTTCTTTCAACATGAATGTAAAGTATATAGAAAACTAAAAAATAAGGGAAAAATGGAATGAAAACAAGTAATTTCCTAACTTCCTAGTATATTCAAAGAAGCCCATCCTATTGGATAAATTTAGGTGTGCAGAGCTGATTAATGCTCTTGCTTGTGTGGAATCTTGATGATAACACTAGAATATCTTCAACTCTAATTTCCACTCATTTTCCCCTGCGACATATTCTGTAACATCATGAAATCCTAGGCACTCATTTTCTAAAAGGTCACAAAAGAGTGATTTAGCCACTTAAAGCGTGTTTATTTTGAACTGTGAACAGAAATTTGTTATTTTTCTAGCTAGGATTGACATAAAACTTACTTCATATATTTATTCCATTACAGCCACAACTGAAAAATGGAAAATTTTCGTAAGTACAGAAGCAGAACCTTAGAGTTATATTGGTGTCATATGAAAAAAATAGACCAGTAGTCCTCTCTGCAACTTGCAGCAGCCCAAAAAACTCCGACTCTACCTTTTTCTGTCAAAGTTTGTGTAACAATGATAATGCTCACCAAATAACAATCAATCTATAGGAGAAAAACTGAAGCAACAAGAGAATTACCTGCTCTACAGGAGAGTTTTTAAGAGAATGATCACACGGAAAAACTTTCAAAGATGCAACTTTGTAGATAGGATGTCCCAAATAAGATCCAACACATTCACGCTCTGTTATTGTTATCAAATATGATCCTAAAGCATGAAAATTCAATTGAATCAAAACGGATGGACAAGTTGCAGGTCTATAGCTTGGGCTTCATAAGTACAGAACATTTGTGTTCAGCACTATTTAATACAAAAAACAAGATCATCAACATTAATTAACTGAATTAACTTATAAGATCTGCAGAGACATTTGCCTTGTGAATTGAAATTCCATTTGTTTAGAATTTTATGAAGTTACATAGCACATTTCCTTTGTTTGATAGTCCTTGAAAGAAGGAATGGGGACGAAAGCAGGAAACTTTTGCAAATTTGAAATCCTTAATCTAAGCATAAAAATGCATTAATTCAGAACTTCATTTCCTCTTGTTTGATAAACTAATCAACTTTCCTAGTTATCTCATTCCACAGCTAGATCAATCAATTATGTCTAGACAATCTACTGAAGTTAAATATTTTCAGTCTTGTCAAATCTATGCCTTTGACCACACTAACTGTCTACTTATCATATGTTACCCAAAAATGTGCAATGTTATGCACATCATGCTATCTATCCATTACTCTTTCTGATCATGTCATAATCTAACAGCACGACATAATGTTAAGGTACATCCTATTTCCCACAAAGTACTCTAAAATAACAATGCAACAGTAGATATCATCTACAATATTTTATTTAAAACTATAAATACAAATGGCAGTTACATGTCTAATGAAACCATCCAATCAAAGAAAAAAAATAAATAAATAAAAGAAAGAAAGATATCAGGATCAAGTATTGAGATCTAAAAATTAGGTGCATAGTTTAAGAGTTTGATAATACTATCTTAAGAGTTTGATAATACTATCTTACCTGCCACTAGCTTTAGCATCCCAACAACACCAAAAATTGTTCGGATCTTGGGAACCCGTATAGAGCTGCATTCTGGAACTTCATCTGCCAGAAACCATGTGTTCATGAAGCAAAACATCAATCACTTTGCAAACCCAAAACTGAAACCAAATAGCAAGGTTTTCCAAACAAGTTACAAGATAAAAACAACCCACCAATGAGCTTCATTGATCCGTCAACTCGACTGACTGATAACGAGGAACCATGGGAACCATCAATGGGCTCAATCACGTACTCATCAGGATATTCCCATAAACGCATCCTAGTGTACAGCTTTTGAGCCGGCTCTGCCGTCTCCATCATTATTGGAACTCTAGCTGGCTACAAACCAAGACAAACACACATTAAGATTTCCTTTGAGCCTCAAAACCCACCATAAAAAGACAATTCCTTGCACTAGTTGTTAGGCAGCCAAAAGGAACCCTAAAGAGTATGAAAAGGGTACCTGACCGGAGATCAAAGGATGTAACTTTGGCGTTTCAATTACAAAGATCTAAATTCATAGGGAAGCAGAGGAAGAAAGCAGAAACCTTTTCTGTTGTATGTGTCTTTGTAAAGCATGGGAAGTGATTAATGATTAATGTGGTCGAATGTAGGATTTTGGGAGGAATTTCCTAACGGATTTGGCTAAATGCAGGGTGTGGAAGAGGGACCTCTGACATGTTCAAATGCTAAAGACCCTAAAGTAGTAAAGTTCTTACCTTTGATGAAATATACGTGGCCAAGGACTTAGCCCATCCCTCGGGTTTAAAACCAATTTATTAGCGGTACCTTTTTTTTTTTCCCTTTTATGTCCATGTCATTTTACGGTAACTGAATGTAAAAAACAATAAGATTTGCTGAACGGTCCCTCAGGGCAGTGGTACTGAACTTTGGGTTAATACTGTTTAACTCTTAGTGGGTCGTATGTTTCAACCCCACAAAATTCTTTTTTTTTCTTTTAATTAATCCGATAAATAATTACAAATGGTTAAAAAAAAAAAAAAACAATAAGATTTGCTAAATGTAAAAATATGGATTCCTCCACTATTATTATATTTATATGTGAATTGAAGTGCTTTAACCATACGGCCGCCATCCTCCTCCTCCATAGGGGAGAGCAGAATTTTTCTCTTTCTTTTTCTTTGGTCAAGAGAGTTGAAGCCCATCTATTCCATGGCTTTCTTTCAAGTCTTCAGTTTGGTCTGCTCAAGTTATTTCCTCCTTGTTTTCTTCATTTCTAATTCTCAAAGACAATGAAACTTTGATGTTATTGTTGAGAGATTTGTGTAGATTCAATTTTACGTTTTTTAAGGTGTAGATCTGGAGGTGCTGCTAACGTTATTAACATGTTAAGCAAAATCAAAGTCAGAAAAACTACCATCTAATCCTAATTCTATTGGATGCATCATGTTTCTGGAGTGCAGATTGAGATTAGTGAAGCCGAGATGGTGGTCTCCTTTCAAGGCTCCAACTTCCCCAGACACCTACTTGCCCAGGTCATTTCCTTCCCCTTTAATTCTTTTTCTTCTTTCTAATCCCAAAGGGAATGAACTCGGGTGTTATTGTTGGAGATCTGAGGTTCAGATTGGTTTTTTTTTTTTTTTTTTTTTAAGTGAGGTAAGTGCAAAGTTGTCACCTACTTCCTCGGTTGGAGATGGTACGGACATCTTGAAGTAGGTTGGGGATTCGGTTCGAAGTTAGTAAATTTTTAATATGTTGCCCTGTGTAACTTATCTGCAAAATTTTCAGCTTAGGGTAACTACAAATTTGCAGCTTA